TGGCCCCTGGAGCAGCGCGACAGGGGGCAGTGCCCAAACCCTTCGATAGACCTACGGCTCTGTGTGTGACAGGGGGCAGGGCCACAACCTCCCTATCCGCCCTGCTCTGTTCATGACAGGGGAAGGCGCCCCAACCCCCTGATCGGCCCTGCTCTGTGCCTGATAGGGGGGAGCTCCCCAAACCCCTGATCACCCTGCGGCTCTGTGTGTGACAGGGTGCGGCGCCCCAACCCCCTGATCCACCCTGCTCTGTGTGTGACAGCGGGCGGTGCCCCAATTCCCCTATTGGCCCTACTCTGTGAGTGACACGGGGGAGCTCCTCAACCCCCTCATGGGCCCTGCTCTGTGTGTGACGGGGGAGCTCCCCAACCCCCTGATGGTCCCTGCTCTGTGCGTGACAGAGTACGGAGCCCCAACCCCCCTGATGGGCCCTGCTCTGTGCATGACAGGGGGCAGCGCCCCAACCCCCTAATCGGCCCTACTCTGTGCGTGACAGGGTGGCGCCGCAACCTCCCCATCGACCCTGCCTTGAGTGTGACGGGGGCAGTGCCCCAACCCCCCAATCGGCCCTACCCTGAGCGTGACTAGGGGGTGGCATCGCAACCTCCCGATCCGCCCTGCTCTGTGCATGACAAGGGGCGGCGCCCCAACTCCCCAATTGGCCCTGCTCTGAGCCCGACCAGGGGCTGCACCTAGGGATTGGGCCTGCCCTCTGCCACCCGGGAGCGGGCCTAAGCCAGCAGGTCGTTATCTCCCGAGGGGTCCCAGACTGCGAGAGGGCACAGGCCGGGCTGAGGGACCCCCCTCTCCCCCCCCGAGTGCACAAATTTTTGTGCACCGGGCCCTCTAGTCTCTATATATAAAAGCCTAAGTAAACAGCCCAGCCGGCAACTATGATGCGCACTGACCACCAGGGGGCAGAAGCTCAACCCAGGAGCGGAAACCACAGGCATGAAAACATGGAACAGACTGACGAATCTCAGAGGGAAGGGGAGGGTGGGAAGAGATTAACCAAAGATCTTAATCCATACTAAAGGCTCAGTGCACAGATTCGTGCACCGGTGGGGTCCTTTGGCCTGGCCTGCACCCTCTCGCAATCCGGGACCTCTCGGGGGATGTCAGAGAGCTGGTTTTGGCCCAGTCCCCACAGGCCAGGGCCAGGGACCCCACCGGTGCACAAATCAGTGCACCGGGCCTCTAGTAAACAATAGAAAAAACTAAAGAGGTTAAGGGGACCAGGGAATGCTGGGATGCAGAACATAAATGAGGTTTGTTATTTTATAGAAGAGTAGATAGGAAAGGCCTCTGTTAAAGTGACATTTGTGTAGGCTAAAGAGTATATCTATAGAAAGGAACTCACAAGTGTGAAGACCCTGCCTAGCACGATAGGCAATGTATCCAATCCCTACCAAGTATTTATCAACTGGGGATGATTATCACCCTAAAAAAAAACATTTGGAAATAAAAAAAAGGTAGCTATTCTGAGTTTTCACAATGATGTAGGGTAGGGGTGAAGAGTAAAGAAAAGTTCAAACAACCAAGAATTAAAATAATTGCTTTGCCCAAAATACCTACTAAAATTTTTGCTGGGACTATCAATTACAAAACTTCTGTTATTATTTTCAAATTGCCCTCATTATATTACCAAATGTCAATCAACAAAAGATGGCATAAGTAACATGATCTAGTCATGCAACAGAATTATACCCGATATAAATTTAGTTAACCCTAATTCAGCCCCACTATTTTCTACATTTTGCTAGTTCATCATGTTTCATACGTGATGACACAGACTAGGTCTTAGATTAATTCAGGTGATACTTATTACCTTACTGACTCCTCTACTTCATACCACATGTGAACACCTTGGAGGAGAACTGACACACCTTGACTATCAAATCAACCAGAACGTTATTCTCCCAGTCCAATGTGGGAACAGTTCCCAGGCCCCACTTTCTATGGCTGACAACGATCTCCCGTTTTAAGACCAGCCATACCTCCTCCACGAAGCTCTCCCCTACTTTCCCAGTTGCGCACTTCGCAGTTCTCCCGCTAGCACCGTGCCCCTCTCTCAGGAGCACGCCTACTAGACATGGCATAAGATGCTCCTTTACCTGTCAGCCTCCAAACTAAACCATCAGCTCGTCCGGGGCAACAGCTAGACCCCATCCATCCGTCTGTGTATCCCCAGCACCTAGTACAGTGTCAGGTGCCTCGTTCAATGGTTGTAGAATTAAGTCAGATTTGCTCGTGTGTTTAGGTTTCTACCGAAGACCCCCGCCTGCAGGAGTTAGGCTGAGGCTAGAAACAGGGCCGCAGGCGGGTCGATGGAGACATCCCCACTCGAGGACTTTTTCCTAGTGTGCCTATGCTGACAAGTGCCAACAGATGGCTTTCGATGCCATCCTGGTCAGAGGCCGGGGGACGGACAAGCCTCCTGGTGGTCCCTTCCAACCCTAGGACTCCCTTAGTCGGTGAGGTGTCACTTTGGGGGACCCAGGTATCCTAGGCGGGGCTCTCACCTTCCCGTTCGTGGGAGGCTCCTGAATGTAGATATTGCTCATGCTGGTCAGTACCCAGGACTCGGCTCCTAATTGAGGAGGAGCGCGGGCGGCCGGTCGCTCAAGTTACCCACTTATCACACTTCCTTTCGTCGTTCGGTCGCGGAAAGCTCCAGTCCGTCAATATCCCCAGAGAAAACGACACCCAACACTATCTTTGCCCATAGCTAGCCTCTCACGGACGCCGCCATGTTGCTCCGGGGTTCGAACACCGCTAATCCCGAGCAGGGGGATCCCAATGTCCTCCAGGGAACGAGAAAAAGCATTAAGCTCCTACATAGATAACTTTAATTTCTATGACAACTTTTCAAATAACGATTCCTAAGTCTTGGTGGTGTTTCCTTCTCCACATGCGTCTGCAGGCATCCCTGCTCCCCCCAAACTGGCAGGAATGGTTCGGCCCGGGTGCTCGGCAATAGGGCTCCCCCGGAAACCGCAGCGGCGGCTCCTGGGTTCCTCTCTCCTGGCGCCTCGGAGGGCCTCCCCGACTGCCGCCGAGGTGCCGCGGCGCCGGGCAGAGGAGACGCCACCCTCGCAGCGCGTCGGCCTCGCAGCCGGCGGCGGGAAGCGAACGTGCCCTCGAAGTCCAGGGCTCCTGCGATCCCTTCCCCAGCGCCATGGCCGTCCCAGGTGAAGCGCGGACCGCAGGCCCCTGGGTTTGAGCGGGGAGGGGAGGTTGGGGTGCGCAGGGTGGGCAGTAGCGCCCGTGGGGCTGTAGGCGGAGGCTTTAAAATGCGTAGGTTCGTTTGGTTTAC